CGCCATTCATTGGACATCCTGTGACTTTCCTTGAAATGAGATATCCTGGCTGTCTTGGGCCAGGAGAGGTTGCCCGTCGTCGTGTTGATGACATCAGTAGAGGAACAATGAACTATGCACTCTGATGAACATTTGAACTCTGAACTGCTTTAATAAAGCATTTTGAATAATTTCAAGACGGACCCAGGCCTCACAGAATGAAATTTTGAAACAGAAATTTTATTGTCATGTTGCAGTGATAAAAACTTCAAATTTCTGAGTAGTGACATGGACAGTGTCCTAATCATAGACCTACTTCTTTGATGAGCAAAATCGAAAAACCATGGAATTGGGTTCTGAGTACATACGCGTACATGTCCAACATACATGTACTGTCATTCCACAACTCTCAAAGTACATATGCGGTTTGGTAAAACGGATAAAACGGAGACACATGTCAATTCCTAAGATTCCGTGAAATTGCAAAGTACGAGTACATGAAAATATCAGAAAGGATTTCTGTGAGGGCTGATGGTCTTAATGTATCATAAAGACCATTGAGCAATGCCTGTTGGGTGCTGGCTACTGGATTGGATTTTTTGGGTATACATGTACATGTATGCAGGTGTTTTTCACTATACTTCCAAAAAAACAGCAGAAATTATTTCATCTGATTGTGCACATAACATGAACATGTACATTTCCAAATTAAGGGCTGATGGGATGATTTGTGCCTCTTCTGCCCCAGTTGGCTCAATCAGTGAAGCGCTGTGTTCAAAGTGTTTTAAATTGCGCGATATTTCTGGTCTCAGTACTCGTCCCAGTGAAGGGCGTGATTTTTCCAAAGTTCCTCTGGAACCTCAGATCTATTTAACAAATGCAGTGGAACTTATGGCAATACACAAATGACCAGTCTTGTACCCAGCATTCTGAGTATAATCAGTACTGGCACACTAGTAGTTAAAAGCAATTCAAGAGATGCTGAAACCTCGCCTATGAATTGAACTTTTTTCTTATTATAAATATGAGAGTCTCGTCATCAATTCTTGCCTGGCAACCAATGTTTCTTGGGCTGCTTATTTCATTCATTAGAAAGTGGCACTAAAGGCAACTCTTTTAATTCTTCTTTAGGAATTTATTTTAATACAAGAAATGCTTTGCTGAGTAAAATTTAATATGAGGCAAAATTTCTTTAATTATTGCACAACTTTGAAAAGTTCATCAAGTTGGCAGACTTCAGCAATTCACCACTTGTAAAGCCGCCTTCGGAATATGAAGTTATTCAAATGATCAATTTGGCAATATTGAGTAAGTCCACATCCACACCTGTAAAGTAGGGGTACATGTAAAGCCATATTCAAGATATGAAGTGAATTGATGAATTGATCAAATTGGCAAATCTCAGCAAGTCCACATTACCACTTATACAGTAAGGCCACGTTTGGAATCGGAAGTTTTTTAAATCCAGCCAAGTCTTGTCATCAATTTATGCCAGTACTGATTATACATTTTAAAGCCCATTTTAACTTCAGTTTATCAATTGTCCTTAACCAACAGGCACTCTCAAATCTCTCGAAGCACCCTAGCGCATACAAGTCCCCCCTGGTGTGGGCTGCGTGTTCCCCGTCCGCAGGCACCGACAGGTTCCGGTGAGTTGCCCTGCTGCATAACTTGTGATCGGTTTGTTCAAGATGTGTTACAACTCTCGGATCATGAATTGCTGGGGTTGGCAGCAACGTGGTAAGGATCCCGTTAACTTTGATAATCAATTTATCTTTCTACAAAGCGGATGCATGTATTCAGCACTCCTGGCATTGCAGGTAAGGAACGCTTCTTGCATCTACCGTGAAATTGCTCGCTTGGTATTGAAGAAGTTCCGTTACATAGCAGTTTTTGATCGAATTGAGTGGAGCATTTACGTGTGGATACTTTTTGTTGGTGTTCTCAGCTGATTTTGAATGTTTGCTGATATAAGGCAGTTTTCTTGGCCCGTTTGTAGGTAACATCCATTGCGTTAACTCCGAAACTTCCATGCCATTTGTTCTGTTGCCATGTTCCATATTCCGTTTCCGTGCAGTGTGTAGTCCGACAAAAAATTCTCCTCTGCTGACTGCCATTGAAAAGTCAAAAGTGTTAAGCTGCATCTAAATACATGTACATGTACGCATATTGAATTACCTTTGGAAACTCGATAAGAAATTTGAGAAAGAAAACCAAAAGTGCTGCTACCTTCCAAACAATGAGGCACAAAAGTTTTAGGCACTATTACAAAAATTCAAAATTGCACCAGCAGTGTCTTGAAGTGTTTAAAAAGTGAGCTGATTCCTGAAACGTGCAAAAAATAAAACTTCAAATAATATCTTTAAACTGCAAAGATCTTCGCTGACAAAATAAGCCGGATGACCTTTTCATTGTCTCAGTCTTTGGCCTTGTAATCATTACAAAAATTAATTCTGATGTGGTTCGTTGAAAAATGTTTGATCATTTGAAGCACATGTAGCTAGCACTGTCTGCAGGAGCCCACTCAGGCTGAGAAAAGAACACGGATCAAGCAAAGGGAGCGCACAGGAGCCAAACTCATGAAACGGCACTTGAAAGTCCCGGTGTGCCAGAGAGGAAGACCCACGTTGCTGGATTGCTTGGTGGATGATGTACCCAGGCCATTCACTCTGATGGTGGGGGGAAGGGGTCTGCACACTTGTTCCAAATGATTCATGGACTTGCAATCTTCAAAATGAGTAGAACTTTGGAAAAATCACAAAGAACAAAAGTGGAGTCTTTCATAGGATTCCACAACTCTGTGGCCCATGGACAAAGTGCTGTTTGTTGAAACAGAAAAAGAACTTGTTTTCCTGAATTTAGCAAATTTAAAATGACCATGTGAAGTTAGAAACTTTACATCAAATGTCTATGGTACGTTTTGTCTGAAGAGGAAATTCACTGTTGAGTTAGTGGAAGTTTGTGAATTTTCCAATACTGTGTGTAAAACAACCTTATGGCCTCCATCAGGAGAGACGAAAGTCTACATACATGTACTATACACAGATTCCAATTTCGTTGAGACATCAAGGGAAAATGGAATTAAAAAATGAGGCAAGAAGAAAGGGACAAGTGTGTTTCTCCCCTCCCTCAATGTGGAGTGAATGGCTCTGGGGATGAGGTGGCAAGCTGCCTGTTGGTATCCTTCACAGAAACTGTGGTATCGGACACAGGGGGCCAGTCCTGTGAACAAGTTCCATGGTAAGTTTAA